TTGTACATGAGACCACCCAAGGACCGTTAGGTGCCTTAAGCCTGCCTACACTTTCCATTCGGGCTTCCTATATTTTTCTTTTTCCTTGGTGTGATTTTTTTTTTTAGGGGGGTGGATGGGATATTCACTGTCATTGTCATCATGCACCTTAACCATGTTCATCTATCAATACTTTAATATTCTAGCCTACACATTTCCAAGTTCTTTATATAAATGAAGTCTAACATCAAAATAAGACTACATGACGATAAAGATTACTTAAGATTCTAAACTGTGTGCATGGGATGTTCGTAGATTTGGGTTGGGAAAAATAATTATGATGGCTTACGTTTTGGTAGAATACAAACTCAAGCCAAGTGCTTGTGCTTAATTTCTCAATGATTCTGTAATACCAAGAAAGGAAACTGCACAGCATTACTGGGATGAAACTAGCCAAACCTTAAAGCCAAACACTGGGCAGGGAAACTAAGTTGTTTTCTATCAGCTATTGATTGTCATATGATAAATTAAACTTAGCAGGTGAAAATAATGAACATTTACTGTCCCACAGTTTTCCAGGGTAAGGCGTCTCAGCGGAGCTTAATAGGTAATTGGAAATCAGGATCTCTTACAAGGTTGCATGGAATTATCAGCAAAGGCTTCAGTCATCTCAGGCCTCCCCTGGAAACCTCCACGTACCTGCATCAGGTGCCGTGCACTGCAGGAGCTGGCTTCTGCCTGTGCTAATGACTGAGAGGGTGACAGAGAGCACACACACACACACTGGGATCTAGTCTTTTTATAACTGAACCTCGGAAGTGACATGATTCTTGCCATAAGCCATTCATTAGCAGTGAGTCACTATTTCCACCCCACACTGCGTGGGAGGAAACTCATAAGGGAATGAGGGCCAGGAGGCGGAGGGGATCACTGGGGACCATCTCAGGGCCTGCCTACTACAGGTTTCCTCACCGTAGGAATTTGAAAGTACAGCCATGCATCCCTTGACAGTAGGAATGTACTCTGACAATGAGTCATTAGGCAATTTTGTCATGATGTGAATATCAGAATAGATTTAGCCAAAACTAGATGGTGGAGCCTATTACACACCTAGGGTATATGGTGTCTAACTTTGTTTACGTAGTCTGCCATTGACCAAAACATGGTTCTGTAATGTATATCTATTTTTTTTTTTCTGGGCTTGGAGACTGAAACTAGGACCTTTACAGTGAGATACATCTTCAGCCTTTTTTCTTCTTCTTTCTCTTCCCTTTTTTCTTCCTCTTCCTCCTCTTCTTGACAGAATCTGGCTAAATTGCTAGAATTATAGGAGTGCACCAAATGCTCAGCTTGCATGATTTTCATATGCAATTCATCACTGTAGAGTTGTAGGATGATATAATAAGCTATATTTTCAACTGTTTGATCTACACGTCTATTTGTGTTCATTCTGTCAATATATATCTATACTTATATATCTATATCTATCTACATATCTATTTACTTATCTTCCTATCTAGAATGTTTTAAGAAGTTGATGCCCAAGATATGATCTTTGGGCCAGGGAGTTCTTAGGAACCTAGAATCTCAGGCTATATGTCAACCCATTTAGTTATAAGTAACCTCCTATATTTTGGCATATACAATGTCTGATATTAATAAAACTATTCAATTTTTTGATTGACATTTATATACTATATGTTTTTTCCAGCTGCTTCTTTTTTTTTATTTATTACATTTCAGGGTTTCTTGTAGCTTGTAGAAATAAGCTTAGCTGGCAATGTCTACCTATGCTGGCAATAACTCTTTTTAGAGTTGAAGGTGTTGCAGTTATGTATACTTTATGTAATTATAAACATAATAGGATTTAAATCTACCATCTTTTAAATTGTTTTCTTTATGCCAATTTATTCTGTAACCTTTTCTCCTTATATTCATACTTTATTTTAGTGTATTATTCCATTTATCTCTATACTAGTTTATTAGTTGCCCTTCTTTTTAAAATATTTATTGGGCCAGGGATATAGCTCCATGGCATAAGTGTCAGCCTGGCAAGCACAAGGTCCTGAGCTTGATCCCTGGTACTACAAATCAAATCAAATAATATATATGTATATATATATTACACACATTATTGTTTACTGTAAAGTTTAAAATATATATCTTTATTACAGTCTAATTTCAAGTAGTAGTAAATCATTTTATATGGGCAAAAATACCTTATATAGTATGCTTTCTTTCCTTCTTTTTATCCTTTGTTGTGTTGCTCTCCTATATTTTAATTCTAAAGATGTATAAATATCACAATACAATGTCATTTCTTTAACGTTAAATAATCTTTTAAAGTGATTAATTTTGAGGGCTAGCCAGATAGCTCAGCAAACTAAAGCACCTGCTTAGGCAGAGCACAGCGGCAGAGGTTCCATCCCCAGCTTACTGTGCTGCTCCCCCCCACCCCCGAGATGGTGACCGAGACTGGGCATGGTGGCACACACTTGTAATCCCAGCACTTGGGAGGCTGAAAACAGGAGAATCACTATGAGTTTGATCTGTATAGTAAGATCTTGTAGACCCTGTACTAAATACAAAATAAATAAAGTGGTTAATTTCAAAGTTTTATTTTCATTTTTGTCATTTCTGGGGATATTTCTGTGTATTTCTGATACAAATTTCCATCCACATATATTTCTATTGAATGAAGAACTTCTTTTAACATTTCTTGCTATGAAAGTCACTGGAAAAAGAGGAAAAACTACAATTGGCTTTATATTTTGGAAGATATTGTAGCTGGGTATAGAAATCTGAATCAGCAGCATTTTTTTCTTCTACTATTGCAAAAATATTACCTCACATAGTTTCTGTCATGATATGTTTTGCTGTCTTCTTTTATTCCCCTTCTAATTCATCTGTAAGAAAGCATAGTTATCATTCAACAACGTACTTCTTTTAGGCTCTTTCCACAGTGATAGTTTGTGGCCCTAGTATGAATTGCTGAATCATTATGATGGTTATCTAACATGACTGAAGCCCTTAAAACAACAGTTTATCTTCCCAGAGACCACCTCCCCCTTCTCCAACTCAGGCCAGGGTACAATTTCCTTTCATCTTGCCCGCCACCTTAGGGAAGACCCCAATCAGCTCCCCAGGTATATCTAAACATCCCCTTCAAACTGCACTCCCTGGAAAAAAGGGCATAAAAGCCTCGGCCTGCCTTTGCTCCAAACCAGAGAATCCCTTATCTTCCCCAGATTCTCTCCATGTCCTCAAAGATAATAAAGCCCCTTTCCTTTGCCTTCTGCCTGATTCTCTGCTGCGACACCCTCGAAAACCTATCACACAGTGCCAATCAAAGTTAAATCAAAATGAGTGTAGCTAGGTTAAAAAGCTGTCTTGCAAGAGGCAATTTAGAAAAGAACTGGGTCAAGAACTGTTATTTCTCTGCAGACAGCCTGCAAGGGTGACCCACAGCTTATTTTTAAAAATCATCCCCCTGAAGAGTCCCTTACAAGGAAATTTCTGGACTTTAAAAGTTGTATACGGGGCCGGCTAAATAGCTCAGCGGATTAAAGCACCTGCAAGCAGGCTCAGGGGCTGCCGGTTCGATCTCCAGGCCTGCCGAGCTGGCCCCGCCCCCCGGGACACGCTGAGCTGGTAATTGAGACTGGTCACAATTGAGACTGGGCGTGGTGGCGCGCGCCTGTAATCCCAGCTCTTGGGAGGCTGTAAACAGAGGATCACTACCAGTCCCATCTTGTAGTGAGATCCTGAACACCCAGGAGGCCCTTCCCTAAAAAAAAAAAAAAAAAAAAAAGTTGTATATGGTATTCACAGGGTGCCAAAGGCTGTTTACAGGCTGTTGGCTAAACCCTCCTGGCCGGCAGGGAAAGCGAATTCTATCCTGTTAGGATCTACAAGAGAAATGAGGCCAAACGTTTTTTTTGCATCTTGCCAGGGAAGCGTTTATGCGGCTGAGCCATCTCCCCGGCCCCTGAGGCGGAACTATTTTTAAGAGAATGATTTCTCTCACACTGGACTGTCTAAGGGATCTCAGCAGAAGGCCAGAATTATAGAACAGAAAATGACGTTTTGTCTTTCTTTTTTTTTCTCCTTCTTGAGCATGTAATATTACATCACATTAATGAGTTTCTGGCGCCTGAGGTCTGTTCTTAAAACCCTGATTATCAATCTTAAGACTAATCACCATGTCTTTCTATATTTTTGATTCAATCTAATTTGCGACAGGACTGTTATATTGATGAAGGAACATTTTACAATCTTTGTGCTTTGAAATGCTTTCTTATGAGTTTACTACACAAGCCATTTATTTTATTTTATTTATTTATTTATTTATTTTTTGCAGAACCAGGGATTGAACTCAGGCCTTGCACTTGCCAGGCAAGCACTTATTCTACTGAGCCATCTCCCCGGCCCCAAGCCATTTATTTTAAGCAACCCAGTTTCCTGTTATTGTGACCCAAGGGGGATGAGATAGGTGAAACAAAGGCGCATGGTTTTTATTTATAAAACAGTGGCTTGCTGCAGAATGGCCTCGCCTTCCTTGGCTGTCACTCACCGGAGCCCCCAGGCCCGTGGATCTTGGTCACCGAGCTTCGTGCAGCTGGCAGAGACGCACCCTCTCCCCAGCCCAGCCTGGAGCCGCAGTCTCTGCGGCGGGGCGGAGCCTAGTGAAGGGCGGGGCCGGCGGACTGGGCTAGACAGTGAGGGGGCGGGACGAGGCGGGAGAAGGCGGGGCGAAGCCGCAAGGTGGGCGGGGTGAGCCGGTGGGGGCGGGGCGAGGCTGGAAGTGGGCGGGGAGAAGCCTCAAGGTGGGCGAGGTGAGCCGGTGGGGGCGGGGCGGGGCTGGAAGTGGGCGGGGAGAAGCCGCAAGGTGGGCGAGGTGAGCCGGTGGGGGCAGGGCGAGGCTGGAAGTGGGCGGGGAGAAGCCGCGAGGTGGGCGGGGTGAGCCGGTGGGGGCGGGGCAGGGCCGCCGGAGGGCGCGTGCCCGGCCCGCCCCACCCCCGCCCCCGCCCGCGGTGGGTTCCTCTGGCTCTTCCCGCGCAGACCCCTACATTTCCGCCTCCGGCGGGTGGCCACCCGGAAGCGGTGGAGCGAGCCCGGCGATGTGGCGGCCACCGCCAGGGCTGTGGTGGCTGCTGCTCTGGCTGCTGCCCGCGGGCGCCGTGTGCGGGGAGGACGCGGCGCTCTCAGGTAACCGGGCAGCTCGGGCCCCCGCGGGTGCGAACCTTCGGTGGCCCTAGGACTGGAAGTGCGAAGCCGGGCCGCGCCCCCGTTTCCGAAGCCGCCCAAGCGCAGGGCTGCTGCGATTTGTCCGGAGTCCCCATTTGGCCTGGCCTGGGGCCTCTGGGCGTGCTCAGTGCCTGGGCGTGGTGGTGCACGCCTGCAGCCCCGCTGGGGAGGACGCACCGGAGGACCGCAAGTTCGCGCCCTGCGCGGGCAATTGAGCCTGCTCCTGCACCTAGACCGAAGCGTTAAAGAAAAACCTGGAGTTGTAGCACACTGGGGAGGCCCGGGTTCAATCCCCAGTACCACAGACAAAATAGAAAGCCTTATCATGTCTTTGGCCTTATCCAAATTGTCATGCAGCTAGCCCTGTGAACGCTACCCAAGAGCGCTTGAGAGCCTTCCAGCCCCTACTAGCTGTTGTGACCTTGGGAGAGGCCCCTGGCTGGGGCTGTGTGGACTTCCGCTGACACCTCCAGGATCTTGGGCTGCGTGGGTGTGCCGTGCACAGAGCTGCTGGCTGTGCAGGGTGGCCTTAGGGGCCGTCCTCCCTGGGCGATCCCAAGGGGAGGTCAGAAAACTCCCATTCTAACTCCAGAGCTGCTTGTGACTCGCCATCCGCCTCAATCCCTCTTTTCTTTCAATTTCCTGCCCGTGACACCCTTTAAAGGATTTATTTCTTGGACAAACTCTCCACCAACTTCCTTCATTCTTTTGGCCACTTCTGGTTGCGAGGGAGGCTGCCGGGTGTGGTCTTTGAGCTGGAAAAGGCCTTCCCCATTGAAACCAGAATTCTGTAGATTCCTGGAAGGAACCTAAGGATGAAGGAAAGAATGGTTGTTGAGTAGGCAGTTACTGGCATTTGCTCTGCCACAGCTGCCAACTTCCAGAAACCTGGGAGTGAGTCCCACCTAGGGGAACTGTCCATCTGCCCCAGCTTTCACTGAGCATGAAGTGGGTGTTTACAGCTGGACAGGGTTAAAAGTGTTTCAGTGCATTATCTGTGGTAGTTGCTAATTTCAAAAGCTCAACAAGGATAGATAATGGTTTCATACCCATTTTACAGATTGGGAGACAAAGGCTTAGTAAGAAATATAACGTAGTTACTGCTTAAAAAGTAAGCACAAATCTGCCGAAGGAGGAGGGTTTTTGAGTATGGGAGCAACCAGAAGATTTAATAGTCCTGCCAACACCTAGAACTTTGGGTTTTGGTTTAGTCATTACATTCAGGCCCCACTTATGATGTAACCTTGGCCCAGGGTAGTCTTTATAAACCACAGTTTTCTTATAGGAAACGAAGGTTATTGCTGAATAATAGCCAGTATTTTTTGTATATTTTTATTGCCTCAGGAACCCAGAATTCTTCAGGTTTCTGTTTCACCACATTTAACTGGAATGATTTTCAGTTTAGTTAGTTGGAAACATACATGAATGCTTACCAGGACTTCTGTTCTGCCTGATACATGGAAAATGCAGACTGCATTCTAGTCCACAGCTAAGAGAAACAGCAACTTCTGTGGCCATCAGGTGAGGCTTGGGGTTACAAATAGGCAGGCTAGGAAGCACCAGGCACGCCTCGCCCTGTAGTGCACGAGTGCTGCTGTGTTGTGACCCCAGGGCTAGACCAGGCCTGAGCACGGCTGCTGCTCTGAAGCTGCTGTATAAGAAGAAATAGCTGGAACAGTTGATGCGCCCTCCATCCACAGGGAGTAGTCCTGCTCCAAGAGGCTGGAGCCTCCGACTGCTGCTGAGTGCACGGCTTCCTGCGCCGTGCACCTCGGGGAGAGTTCATGGAAATCAGGCACAGTAAGAGTGCAGCAATGGTAACCCACAGGAGAACAGTTACAGCACTGTGCTGCAGTGGAGGGTGTGGACCTGTGACGTGGGTATCTCTGGAATTGTCTATGCGATAGTTTCAGCCCTGGTGACTGAAATCTCAGTGCACAAAACTACAGATGAGAAAGGGCTGCTGTTCTTCTCTCCTTCCATCAGGCAGGGCCATCGGTTACAGAGCGGCCTAGTGGAGGTGGAGTGCAGGGCCTTCCTGTTGTAGAGTTCCGTCTTGGGGACACACACCCTTCTGGGGGCGTGGAGGACATCCTGTCACCCTCTTTGGAGGAAAGTAAGAGGCAGTTTATACAGGAAACAGGTGGCTCCGTGGCTGAGAGAAGAAAAACTCCAAACTGAGCATTACTGTAATTTGTCACCACTGGGTGAGATCCCCTGTGACGAGGTTCGGGTCACAGAAAGTTCCCCAGGCTTACACTGCAAAGGTAGAGGACTTTAGTTTCACAGCTTTCTGCCCCTCTAAGGCTGAGGAAGACCTCTCTTGAAGTTCAGATCAACTCTGAATGTGATCAGCACCTCTTGATCTCGCTTTCACCCTCAAGTCCTGAAGGAAGAAAAATCAAGGCTTTTTCTTGAAATCAAAGTTACCTTTGTACTCCACCTTTAAAAATAAGCAGATTTACAAAGGAGCACCAAGGACTGTCCTAACTCCCATCTCAGACCACTTGGTTGCATTTGAACCCTCAAAAGGGAAGCTTTGCTTGTGCTTGTTGCTTTCTCCTCTTCTTTTCTTCACCCTCTTCTGGTCAGAATAGAAATTACTGTAATAATAAATGTTTATATTCTTATTCCATTATAGTTTAACTTGAGGGTAGGTTTTTTTCCCATATGAGCGCCATGGAAGGCTAAAATTTTAAGAGGAATGTTGGTGTCATTTTTAGATGGGAGGTAGTAGATTTGAGAAGTGTTTGTGCTTTCTAGTTTGAGATTATTCTGTAAGTCAGTTTAAGTACTACCTGTTCTTTTCTAAAATTTTGATCGAATAGTTTTACTGCATGTGTGACCAAACTCTTTAAACTCTTTAACTATATAGTTCAACGTTTTCCCTCTCTCTTTCTTTTTCTTTCTTTCTTTCTTTCTTTCTTTCTTTCTTCCTTCCTTCCTTCCTTCCTTCCTTCCTTTCATCTTTCTTTTGGTCTTTTTTGAAACAGGGTCTCAATGCAGTTCAGGCTGGCCTTGAACTCACTTTGTAGCCCAGACTGATCTTGAACTCATAGTGATCCTCCTGCCTCAGCCTCCCCAGCCAATAGTTAGACATTTTCTAATCAATAACAAAAGTAACTATAGAAAAGTGATTTATTGATTTATTTTATTGTTTTGTGAGATAGGGTCTCACACTGTAGCCCAGGCTGGCCTTGAACTTGCAGTGATCCTCCTGCCTTAGCTCCATACTGCTGACTTACAGGCGTGCGCCACCTGCCTGGCTCAGAGGAGTAGTTTTTAATTTAACTCGTTAATTAAAGCAAGTGATGTGCAGCCAGTCCTCAGCGCTTGAAACCTCAGAATGCTGACCCCTGTGTGCTATGTTTTCCGATACACACACACCTGCACATGAGTTTAACTTAGTAATTAGGTATAGAGATTTACTGTGATAACTAATAAGATAAAACTAACAAAAGCACTATTGCAGTGCATTGCAATAAAAATTACTTAAAACTCACGAATTACCTCTAGAATTTTCCACTTCATATTTTTTAATGTGGTTGCGTACAGGTGAGTGATACTGTAGATGCCTTGTTTGTTTTTGGTCTTTTTTGATTTTACCATATCTTTTTGGTTGAACTGTTTTTTAGGGGAGGTTTATGTTTTGTTTTTGGTGCCAAGGACCGAACCCAGGGCTTCCAGCTTGCTAGGCAAGCATTCTACCACTGAGCCAAATCCCCAGCCCCGAGTGATACTGTAGAAAGTGAAACCACAGTAAAAGGGGGGACTCCTGTAGCCCTAAAATCAGCATAGTTGTATATTTATCAGTTGAGCTAAGGGTACCGTTCATTGAATAAGGTGACCTTAACCCATGTCCCATGGCACCTTGAGCAGATGACACCTCTCTCCTTGGGCATCACTCCCCATGTGGTCCAGAAGTCAGGTTTCTTGGAAGGACCTAGAGAGGCTTTCTCCACATCTCTTTCCTGACCTGTTTGGGTTTGAGGATGTGGCAACTCAGTCCCAGAGCTTCTAGAGAGAAGGGAGGTACTCAGACCTGAAGTGGGAGCAGCAGCTTGCCCCGGGTGGTCTTGTTTCCTCTGCCGGAATGAAGAATTGTCACTGCACTTCCATAAATTCTGAGACATCCTTTTCACGTCCTGGATTGTGTTACGTGGGCCCTGTTGGGTTGTATCTTGACTTTGCCCTCAGTTGCCTGCGGGAGTGTTCTCATAGCAGGAAATCCAGGGCTGCCTGAGTGAATGAAGCTCGCACATTGGGCAGGCAGCTGCTGCTGCTTCTTTTTTTTTTTTTTTTGGCGGAACCAGGGATTGAACTCAGGCCCTTGCGCTGCCAGGCAAGCGCTTATTATACTGAGCTGCCTCCCCATCCCAAAGGTTTTCTTTTCTTTCTTTTTTTTTCAGCTTCTTGACCTTCAGCATCATGGCTTCTTCTAGGACAGAAGTTAAGTCAACCGTTAAGTTGGCAGTGTTTTCTGTTTCTACCCTCAGTTGGATAGTGAGCGGTCTTGTCATAAGCCACCGTCTCAGGTCTTGTCCAGTTGGCCCGTGCCTTATGCTTCCCATGAACTCACTTGAGGCCAATCTTGTCTCTTCTTGTGGCTGGTGGAGTTGCTGGCCGCTTGGATATTTCGGAGTTCTCATGTGAGTTGATTGAGATGCATTCACCTCAGGAGAGGTGATAAGGACAGCGAGACACAGATACCCTGGCCATGCTGTCTCCTGTGTGTGAAAGCTCTGTGTCAGCTGCACTTTGGGACCCAGATGCCACTCTGGACAGCTCCAGGGAGACTCCTGTGGCAACATGCTGTTGGCTGTAGTCAGGGAGACCATCCTCTGTGTGTTCTTCCCTTTATCTGCTTGAAGACCAAGGGGCAGTTCAGGGCAGGTCCTTTTCCTCAAGCCCAGGGACCCTTTTCACAAATACTCAGAGGTGACTGCATACTCCTGCATACAGTCAGGAACAGGAAGGTGATCCCTGACTAGCGGCTCTGCAGAATCCCAGGCTCAGCCGTCCACTTAAGAGCTCACAGGGGATGAGGTAGAGAAGGGAACCTTCACCTGTGCCTGTGGCTTTCCGAGAGTTCAAGGGTACTCTTCTAATGCGCACAGGTACTGGTGAGGCTCTTAGCAAAATCGGTTGAGTTTTCACCGGGTGGGCTACACTTGCTCATGTATCCTCTGAAGTTTCAACCTTCTACCCTGCCTTTCAGATTTTCTGTAGCAATAGCTGATCACACTTTCCTCAGAGGAGTCGGGCATTGGGCCTCATTGGGCCATTTCTCTGGGTACCCACAGATGTTCCTTGTTCCTGCTTTCCATTTCAGAGATTTCCTGTTTGACAGGTTATCTTGGATTTAGAAGAACTGCTTTCATTTTAAATCCAAATACAGTAATGGTCACTGAAGAAACTGAACTCCTTTAGTTTTTAGTGTTTGTAGCACTTACCATGTTAACTTTGTGTAATACAGCAGAAATTTCTCGCAAATGTGTTGTGTCATATATAATCACATAGTGTCTGTGATACATAGATTTGGACCTATAACCTCATACCGTATTTATGTATCTTCAGCCCAGTTTCTCCTGTGCTGTGGACTGCTGTGTCTTCACTGAGCCCCACCGGTGACACCAGGGCTCATGTATGTCTAAAGCAGAGCTCATGTCCTGCTCCCCTAACAGCCTGGCTTTTCCACCAGTGTTTCTTTCCTGGGGGAAACACTCTCTCCACTCACCAGGAATTTTCACACCATTTCCTACCCTCCTTCATCAGATGAATTTCCACAGCCCGATGTTATGCCCAGAGGGCTCTTGGGTCTGCTCTTTCTCCTGCTCACTCAGTTCCCGGCTCCAGTAACATGGGGTCCTCCTCCTGCTCTTGCAGGGCTAGCGCTGTTCTGTTGCTGTGGTGGTAAATTTCACTGTGCCTTGTCACTGGTACCTTCACCCAGCTTCTTAGTGAAGCACTTGGGGAGGTTGTACTTATTTGTCACCTGCAGGTGTGAAACGACTATCTCCCTGCACACCAGCCTTGACCCTGTGTGGCAGTCACTTGGCCCTTGCCTGAGCCACTCCCAAGGTGCCCCCTCCAGCCCCAACTGCCCTGTCCCCCATGCTAGCCTTCAGTCACCAAGCATATCTCATCTTTTCTGAGCAGCTACTCTCAGCCCCTGCCCTCCACCTCAGGAGTGAAGCCAGGCTTTTTCTTTGTGACATTCCTATGCCTTCCGTAGCCACGAGAGTGCTGTCAACAGATGGGTTTTCTGAGTAGCTCTTGCTAGATTGCAGAGACTAAAGAAATATAATTACCGTGTAGAAGAATTTACTGGTGACAAAATGCCAAAATGGCTACTATCTGCCTTTGGGAAAATTTTTTTTAATGAGTCTAGGTAACAAAATATTTAGGAAATTATTCCTTTTTCCATCTTTTAGCTTCAAGATGTAAAGATTTGAAGGAAGCGGATTTAATTAAAACTCAGAGGTCAGACTGTTACTGCTACAGCCAAAACTCTCAAATACACTGGGCGTATATGTGGTCCACGCTGCAGGTAAGGCCTAATTTGAAGCACTTCTTAAGGACAGGGAAGGAGAACGCACTATTTCAAGAATAGAAAGTCCATATGGGGTGCCACGTGGCTGAGGATCAGGATAAATGCTGACATCCAGAACACACATGGCAGCTTGGGGAACAGTGACATGGAAGGGGACACCAACTCCCCCATGTGCCTCTCCAGCCCCTTCCTGGACCGCTCCAAGTGGATATACCCTCTAGCAAGCACAGCCTGGCAAGTTATGGTATGAAAGGAAATCCTTTCATGGAGAAGGTCATATTTCAGAAAGATTTCAGCGAAGTGGGTTAGCCAGTGCTCTGGGACTGGGGGACAGGAGAGATGTCAGGAGGCACAGGATGTAGGTTTGTTCCATCACCAATAATGTATGCCACTGTATCACTCAGTACAGTGTTTGTTGTGTCCTTCTGCTTTATTTATTTTATGTATTTAATACAGGGTCTCACTACACAGATCAGACTCGTAGTGATCCTCCTATTTTCTGCTTCCCAAGTGCTGGGATTGCAGGTGTGTGCTACCACGTCTAATCTCAATGACTGTCTCCCCAGGGGCGGGGCTGGCATGGCTAACCAGGGATTGAACCCCGGTCCCTCCATCTGCCTAAGCAGGCGCTTTAATCCACTGAGCTATCTGGTCAGTCCTGTGTCCTTCTGCTTTAAAATTACTGCCATTTTCTTTCAATGAATGAATGTTTTGAAAAGGTAATTTCTGGCTCTAGATACTCTCTTCCTCATCAAATTCCTACCCCTTAGTTTTATGATACCTTCTTGGATCAGTTATCCTCATGGTATTTATCAAATGGTAATTTTCAAATTCATCCAGTCATTTTACATACATTGGCATTCTACTAGGGAAGAGTTTTTCCTCCTTCTACTTATTAATTACTTTTCCTTATGTAGCCTTACAAATTACCAGTTCATTCAGTAGGGTACAGGCCATTGCTCTTGTTAATTATTTTGGTACTCAAATCGTCCCAGATTTGGCTGCTGGGAGCTCCTTCAGACTATCTCTGTGTCCCTGTAACTTGTATCTGTCACTTTTTGAGCGCTACTTTATTTTCTAGCAAACAAGATGTTTCCAGCTCATACAGTTTCCTAGAATGAACCCTGCAGTCATGTTTTCCTAAGGAACATTCGGCGTGAGGTTTGTACATCTCTGCTTGTTTACAGCCATGAGTTCTGATATCTCCGACACCACAGGGTTCATTCTAGCCTTCCGCTTTCCATATTTGTAGCTCGCCACCATCCTCAGTGTATTTATTTGCCTAGTGTGGAATATGTTGCAAGTAGTTCTAGAATTGCTGAGCCCTACTGTTAAAAAATGAACCTAGTAGGGAGAGCTCAGTATTTGTTTATTGTGTTTTATTTGTGTGTCAGTTTGAGGGCATGGAGTTTAAGTTCTCGGCTCTTGGGTTAATTAATTCTCATCCACATTTCTTAATTCTCATCTACACTTAGCTGTATCATGCATTCAAAATACTGTTTGTTTCTGTGTGTTTTCATTTCATAGTTTATACCCATTGTGGTTGATTTTAGTATTATTTTTGAGTACATACAACATTAATGTGCCTTAAAAGTCAGCGCTCTTCACAAAAGTATTCCCAGAGAAAGGAGCTTTCCCCAGCCCCCAGGCCCTTCGTTCAGTCCCACCCACACCTCATAGGCAATCATTCCTTAGTTCTTGGTATCTTCCCCGTATTTCTTTACAAAAGTAAGTAGCGTTGTATCTTTATAGACATAATTCTTAAAGCCATAAGACTGAGGGATGAGATTAGATGAAGTGGACTCTGTTAGTTTTTCATCGCTGTAAGGAAATAGCTGAAGCTAGCTTGCTACATAAAGAAAATAGGTTTATTTGGCTCATGATTCTGGAGGCTCAAAGTCTGCACAACATGGCCCAGACTCTTATGTGGGCCCCCGTGGGCTACATCACCTCATGGTGGGTAGCAGAGGCAGGCATATAAGTAAGACAGGGAGCCAGCAAGATTCAAGGGTGAGGCTCGTTCTAACAACTCACTCTGGAGAGAGCTTCAGCTTTCCAGTGACCTGAGGACCTCCCATTAGGCCTGTCCTCTTAAAGAGATTACTCAGTGCTGCCGCCACATCCAGAGGGCAGCCAGGATTGATGGCTGAGCCTGGGTAACTCAGGGAGAGGGGAGCTGGCAAAAAAGAGAAGGAGTGAGAAGTGAAAGTCCTGGGAAGAAAGTGTGACTGAGAGAAGGGAGTGACCAGCAGTGCCAGAGGCGAGTTAACTCAGTGTGCAGTGTAGCCATGCGGGGGCACAGCGACTTCAGCAGGAAGCTGTTGGGTGAAACCCTGACTGAACTGGGCTGAGGAGAGAGCCAAAGGAGAGAACTGAAGGCTGCAGACATGGCACCTTCAGAAGGAATTGTACCGTGTTGAGGAGCACAGAATGAGGAGATAGTGGTGGGAGAGCAGAGTGCTTAGAAGATTTGGGGGTTGTTGTTGTCCTCTTTTTTTAAAATAGGGAAACAGAGGGATTATCTATAGAGAGAAGTGCTGGTGGGATGTACGTGAGAGAGCAGGACGGCCATGCGGATTGCCTTCACGGAGCATTTTCACTTCGGCGGCGCGCGGGGAGCTGCTGGAGTCTGCGAAGTCGTCTGTTGAGGGGAATAGATGAATGAATGCCTGGGACTGTAGGGTATGGACGACTGCACCTTCCAGGGCCCACTCCAGGCTCTCTGTGAAGGACTTAAAGTGAGGGCACCATGGGTTTCTCCAGCAGATTTGGTGGCACAAATACAAGAGTAGAGCAGGCTTAAAGTTGTATTTTTTAAAGAGAAAGCAAGGAGTCATGGTTGGCTTATGTTGCTCATAGAATTTAGCTGGATAAGAAGGGACTGAGGATACCAAGGGGGTGAGGAGTGGGGGTGGGAAAGATGTTCTGATCCTTGTGGGGACCAGGGTGCTCAGGGGGCATGCTTGGAAGATAGCTGGTGGGGGGTGCTGTTTGCTAGGTGGGTCCAGGGTACAACCATGAGAGTGATTAGTGAGGTGGGTGGAGCACACAAGGAGGGCATTGCCTTACCTGGGGGGCCCTTACATACATATCTCTTGGACATAGTGACTTGGTAGAAGAGAGATGTATTAGTCTCTATTAATTTGTTCCCATTGGGGGGACAAAATACCCAACATACATAATTTCAAGGAGGAGACATTTATTTGACTCAAGGTTTCAGGTGATTTAGTCCATATCAGCTGGTTCCAGGGTGGAAACAGCACAGTAGGAGGTCCTGGCAGACAGGAAGCAGAGAGGAAAGGGAGGAGCCAGGGACAGGAAAACGCCCTGCCAGGTCACACTCCCAGTGACCTGCCTCTTCCAACCCGACCCCACCTCCTGATAGCACATTCAACAAGGGCCTCCTCAGTGGGTGAATCCACTGATAGGTATAGCAGCCCCGAGGCCCATCACCTTCCCAGTGCATGAGGCTTTGGAGGTACATGGCAGTTAAGATAACTACAACGCAGGAGAAGAAGCACCCAGGTTTCACAGGTGTTTGTGGTCCGATGTGTGTCTGGACTACACGTAGGTGTATAGCGTCCACCTCTACCCAGTTCATGGCTGTGTGTATCTGTGTCTGTGTATCTATGTGCCTTTTCCTCAGCCGGTCTTGGGTTTTCCCTTGTCCTCTGCCCACCTTTTTAAGAAGCTTATGAAAAGTTTTTATTTCAACATTTATGGATTTGTTTCTTGTTTTTAGGTGAGCATTACCAGTCCAGTCCTCCTTAGTGTTGTATATATCACAGAAAGGCATAATTGCCAGTATCCAGAAACGATTCTGTCTGTTATCAGATGTATAATTCATAACTTTTGGACACCAAAGGAGTCTAATAATATTACCATAAAAATCAGCCCCTACAAGGAGACAGTATGCTTCAGTGTGAAGCCCAGCAGGAAGACCTCTGGCTACACCATAAATGTGAATCGAAACAGTGAGTCTGTTTTTATTATACCTGACTTCCTGGATTCAGTTTTTCTGCAGTGATTTGCCTCTTCTTTTACTAATGTGATATTGACACAAAATATTCATTGCGTGTATCTTTTTTTCACTCCAGTTGTGGATTTCAAACTCTTCCTTGTGTTTGTGGCGGGCATTGTCCTTTACTTTTACGCAAAGACCTTGAGCCAGTAAGTATGCATTTTTACGTTCTTAATTTTGTGATTTTAGAAGGGGGTAGGTCATATGTGACCCTGTGCTAGATATCTGCGTACCCCTGTAGAGCTTGTAGTTCCTGCTTCAGGTTTTGCAAACAACAGATATGAAGATAGTGTTTGAAAGATACGTAAGGACAGCCCCAGGTATTTGTGCAGCCTGATGTGTCCGTGCGCACAGGGCTTTCACGTACATTATTTTGTGTACCAGGATTCCGTAAGAACTGTGTGAGCTTTGTGTCATTGTTCTTATACTGATGAGTACAAAGCCAGCATCTGTCTTCACGTGAGCAGTCCTCAGCAAAGCCGACCTGTGTACTCCTGCTTGCGCTGCTATATTGGAGGTAGCTCTGATACAGAAGTGCGAGTAGAAAAATATCTGACTCTTTCATAAACATGCTATTTTGATGTCTTCTTTCTTGCCATATTCCTCGTGAAGCAGCAATCTCTGTCTAATGTCTTACTTCCTAACTTGCTCGTGCTTGTTAGTAGCCAGCACCTGCCAGCCGTTCGTGGCAGTACTCGCCTTTGCATGCGTCCTAGTGGCAAAGGACACCCACTGGGTGGCGGGGCCTCGCTGCAGAGCTCCGTCGGCCTGGACTCTGAGGAGCGTGCTGCCGTCCTGGCCCTCCAGTTGGCGTGTACTCACCAGGAATGCATGGCGGTGCTGGGATCCCTCCAGGGGGCTCAACCCCGGAGATACATCTCTAGCTTCCCTTTTCTATTTTATGAAAAAATATTTTCATAACTGAGTACTAAAAGAATATAAGTTGTTATACTGTGTATCATTATCTTTGGAGTACTTAGTATATGACATAAATTGAAAACAAATAGGTAATATCACAAACTTAGGATCCTGCCAGTAAACTAGGCTAAACCTTCAACATAAGTCAAACAATCTGTATAGATATCAAAATAATTTTAAAACAACAGAATATATAATTTGGGGAGATATTTGAACTTTTATATAAGAAAAACCATGCAATGTTTGAGTTTGTCTGTCTGACTTAATTCCCTTAACATGTTCTCAAATTGCATCTAATGCCTCAAGTTTATCTTCCTTTATGGCAGCATAGTACTCCATTGTATATAGATACCATCTTTCTCTTACTCATTCATCATTCATAGACATTTATGCTGTTTCCAAAATAGCTGTTATAAATTGTGCACACATGGTATGCTTGTATCTCTAATATGATGACCCTGACTCTTGTGGGAAGACACCTAGGCGTAGAGGCCAGGTCACATGGAACTTTGGCGCTCAGATTTTTGAGAAATCTCTACCCTGAGTTCCAAATGGTAATTGTCCTCGTTGATATTCCCACCAACAATATAGAAGGGTTCCTTTTCCCCCACATCCTCACCAGCATTTATAATTTTAGATTTTTTGATGATAGCCGTTCTTTCTGAAGTAAGATGGTATTTCAGCGTAGTTTTCATTTGTATTCCTCTGATCCTAGCCCCCTTTAAATATATATATA